TGCACAGCCAAGGAAACAACCCAGAAAATTAATAGGCAACCAACGGAATGGGAAAAGATAGTTGCAAATGACATATCAGATAAAGGGTTAATATCCAGAATCTATAAGGAACTCACCAAACTACACGCCCGAAAAACAAACAACCCAGTGAAGAAATGGGCAGAAGACATGAACAGACACTTCTCCAAAGAGGACATCCAGATGGCCAACAGACACATGAAACGATGCTCAGCATCCCTCCTCATCAGGGAAATACAAATCAAAACCACACTGAGATACCACCTCACGCCAGTCAGAGTGGCTAAAATGAGCAAATCAGAGAACTCTAGATGCTGGCGAGGATGTGGAGAAACGGGCACCCTCCTGCACTGTTGGTGGGAATGTAAACTGGTACAGCCCCTCTGGAAAACAGTGTGGAGGTTCCTCAGGAAACTAACAATAGAACTCCCTTATGACCCAGCAATAGCACTGCTAGGAATTTACCCAAGGGATACAGAAATGCTGAGGCATAGGAGCACATGTACCCCAATGTTCATAGCAGCACTCTCCACAATAGCTAAAACATGGAAAGAGCCTAAGTGTCCATCAACAGATGAATGGATCAAGAAGATGTGGTTTATCTATACCATGGAATACTACATGGCAATGAGAAACAATGAAATCTGGCCATGTGTAGCAACATGGATGGACCTTGAGGGTGTTATGCTGAGCGAAATAAGTCAGGCAGAGAAGGACAAATATCATATGTTTGCACGTATAGGAGGACTAGGAGGAACTTGATGGAGGAACAAGGGGGAGAAGAAGGGCGGAAATGGTGGGGGAAAGGGAGAGAGGCAAACCATGAGAGACTCTTGAATGCTGACAAAAACTGAGGACTGATGGATGTGGGGGGGACGGGGGGATGGGCATAGAGGAGGACACTTATGGGTATGAGCACTGAGTGTTATGTGGAAACTAATTTGACACTAAACTATTTTAAAAAAAAAAAAAAGATTTTGCTAGAAAATAAAAAAGAATGCTGATAAAAAAAAAGAAATGAGAAGTAACATTCTAGAAATTATTTTAAAAATGTGGAATGAGTTAAACATTACATTTGTCACAGATGAAAAGAAAATTTGTGACCCGCAGGATGCAGCTAAGGAAGTACCTACAAATAGAAATCAGAGGGATCCATAGATGGGAAGTATGAGGGGAGATTATGGTAAATGAGGACACAATGTGACAATAGGACATATCCAACTGAGGTTCGTGAAGAATAACACAAAGAAAGGAAGACAACACAAAGTGATCATGGTCAAGATCATTTTCAGAAATGACGGAAGAACAAATCCTGAGAATCAGGAAACATCATTAGGAAGCTCAGCACAGGAAAGGCAAAAATAAATCCACTCCAAAGGACATTAAAACAAACATTCAGAACTTTCATAACAAAGTCCTTAAAACAACTAGAGAGAAGCACATAACACATCCAAAGAATGGTGATTTGTCAGGCAGTGAACTTCTCACCAGTGATTGTTGAAATGGCATGACAGTACCAAATTATGTGCTGAAGGAAAAGAACAGTCCTATCCCAAAGAATAAGGATGAAAGAAAGATGTGATTCAGATGAAAGTATAAAAATAAAACATAAAAAGTTAAAAACACAGAATGTATTCAGAAAGACAGAATGCAACACAGGAACAAAAGTTGAGCTGAAACGTTGATTCAATGTCAACAGGTTGGATGATTAACGCTCCCAAACTGGTAATCATGAATTCAGAGATGGTCCAAAAAGTGGGTATACCTGAAATATTGGATGACAGTCACATGTCACGTGACTGGAAGTTCAAGTAGTCTAAGCTCCTTATTTTGCACGAAGAGTGGGCAGTACCATGGACTCCAATGAGCAACTCTGCCCTCAGAAAAGAAAGGAGATTGGGTAGATAGAGACTGCCCACTTGTAAATCCCCCAGTGAATCCAGAGTATGTGGAGGTCTTTAGCTTAAGGCAACATACTTATTATCATCTATCAAAAGTTGTAACAAGTTAGCACAAGTTGAGTGGATTCAAAACGCCAATAATTTCTTCTGTTCTACTAGAGGTCAGAAGTCGAAAATAGATCCTAGAGATCCACCCATCTAATCAAAAATAATCTTCTCACCTCAAGGTCCTTAATTGAAGAACATCTGCAAAGTCCTTTGGACCTTATAAGGTAACGCTACAGGTTCTGGGGAGAAGTTAGGGGCATCTTGGGGTCATGCATCATCCAGCCTATAACAGCTAAAATGAAAATGTGTTCCACGCAATGACAGATGTAGAGTCACATAAACAAATATTACACTATATTGACTACACTCTGGGATAGCACAGTTCCAAGACACACTGTTGGCTTCTCCATGAAGACAATATACATCTATTCTATACACCTGACCATCAAGACTTGGGAAAAATTTTTAAAAATTTTGACTACTTATATTCTGGAGCTTTGGCCAGAAAAAGGACTGTATTCTCCATGCCTCTCTGACACATGTGTGTCTGAGGTAGCAATTGAAATGTACTGAATGTAGGAAGGATTGGATATATCTTCAATGTGGGTACAACTGAACAGAAATCTTAAACAAGCAAAACACAGCTTGATTCTATTCCCAGGCAGGAAGAAATCAATGTCATTGTCCCAAACTGTTTCTTCTCCATCTCTGACAATAAAAATCCTCCTAAGTAGAGATGTCTGAACTGAAAGTAGGGAGTGACAAAGGAAGTAAGCATGGCATTTGCTGTCTACAAACGGAGAGATGAGAGATACAAGCGGATCCAAGTCCATGTCCAGACTACGGCGAGGATGCAAGTTGTCTTTCCCCTCAGGAAGATATTCATTTCAGCCATGTAAGAAAAACCGAGAGACTCGAGGGATGTCTCTAAAAGGACAAGTAAGCGAAAGTGCAAGGGTATCAGAACAGGACCATGTTTACAAAGATGGAGGCAAAGGAAGTGTCACCGCTCTCTGAGAAGTGGCAAGACAAATTCAGTCTGCTCCTGGGAAGATGAGCTCAGTTGATCATCATGTGGGCAGAGGTCTGACAACCAGTGTGAAATGGACCAGCAAGGACCAGATAGCGTCTCTAAGGAGGAACCGGTAGATTTCACTTTTTTCTTGAAGAGAGGTGTCAGCTCCTCAGGAGATGCCCTCTAATGGGGGAAGAAGGGATAGTGATCTGATAAAGATCCTTAGGTTTTCTGTCCAACAACCTCCTACCCTCAAAAACACACAGGAGTCTTTATTCCATCCCACCCACAACTAGACTCATCAAAGTGTGCCCTCACGTTTACACTGATTAACACTCCTCCCTTCATTCCCCATTCTCTGCTCCCAGTTCCTTACACTTCCAGACACACTGCTAAGCTCTGATCCTCACTGAGTCAACCTTCACATCTCATTGGGAAGCATTTGCATTCTTCACGTTTGCATTCTCTAACCTCATTCCTTAGATACCACCATCTCTAACTCACACAGATCACATCACTCTTCTAGAACCTTGTATTTCCCATTAAGAAGTCACGAAGCCAACCCAATCCTATGCCATCTTCGAAACCTCCTCTCTTCCGACTCCCTCAGGTCCCTCATGCAGTTGCACAATCTAGGAGTTCATAGGAGGACTCGCATCTCTCCATAACATGGGCACTTTCCATCACTTTCATGGTCTCAGCAACTCTCACAAAATCACCCAGGTTCAGAGAGTCCCGCATAAAGCAACTAGAAATTATGGAACTACTTGGACGTCAGTAGTCTAGGACACACAGATCACTCATGGTACAGAGAAGATGTACTGGCGGCACAAAGTGAGAATTATGCTGCCTGTCACCCAACACTTCACACGCTACCTTCTCATACAATGGCCGTGTCACCTCTGCACCCTCTACGTAAAATTGTTGAAGAAACGTGACAGACACATCCACACATCGGACTGTGCTCATCAAACCTGGTACACATACTAGCTCTCTGAAAAATATACCACCACCTCTGACGTGTCCCTTCCTTACCCCAACGGGACCTACCAGACACTCCGGTCACCCAAGAGACAAAGTGGATGTATTTCGTGAAGGTGTCACAGGCCTCACTGCAGTTTTTAAACGTGAGAAGAGACTTAATATTGAGTGATTTTATCAGGGACAAAAATTTACCAATTTATTTACCGAAAGGCCAATGGAAATTGAGGAGGAAGGAAAACTAACTGGTGATTTCCGTCATATATGGAAACCACGGTAGAGGTAGAGGTGATCCAGGAAATAAGCATATTTTAGCAGGAAAATAACCAACAACCTAGAACTCAACTGTAAATTGGGAAGGTTTTAAGGTAGACTATAAGTTTGGTAAGTGTAGATGCCACAGTTGGTCAGAACAGTGCGTGGGGCATGTGGGAAAAGTAACACCAATAACAGGACCAAAAGAGAGCTGAGCCATTTAGCGGTCAGGGGAGCTGTGTCCATCATTGAGAGGTGGGGTGTGAAGTCCGCCTTGGGGATCCTCCTGGAGTGTCCACGTGCGGCACAGCTACACAGCAGGGCCCTCATGGGAGGACCCACGAGAGCCGGTATCTGGAAGGGGAGGCTAAGGACCAGCAGAGGAAGTCAGGCAGTTCTTTCTTGTCCATTCGAAACCTCCCAGGAAGCAGCAGGACTCACAATCGTAAACCACAACTGGCACACTGCACCCCTTTACCGACACACATCCTCCAAATTTCCTCTTGTGGTAAACAGAGGAACAATAACAAATAATATGGGCACCTGATCGTGTACCAGGGAAGAACTGGTGCGCAGATACATGCAGAAAACAGCATACGGCTCTCACAGGGAATCAGAGACTTCATTCCAACAGATGTTTTCATAGACCTCAATTTTAGGACCTTGAACAGAAACTAGACTAGAATCGTTGTGATGATAAGTGCCATGTGTTTGATTCGACATGGTATCTCTTGAGTGTTTAGCGAAAGCAAAAAATACCTGATTTTCCTTCTCTTTCCCAGAAGTCTTAAAATCACATGAAGGCTCATCACGATCTGGACCCTCTAAATTGGTCCAATTCCACAAGCAGAGGGAAGAGGATTCAGGCTCAAGAGACATCTGTGTCTCTTCTCCAGACAAGCTCATTCACAGCGGTAAGTGGTGGGGGAGAGTAGGAGATGAGGGGGATTCAGGCATGGTGGTGAGGCAGCATGGTAGCCAAAAATTGGGATTGAGCTCCTTTGCTCAGCAATGGCCATGAACGAACCCTCTCGCAAGGACTGCCCAGGGTCTCTGTTTCTTGTTAGGGGGCAACAATATACCATGTCAGCATCCCTGTTTTCTTTGGTAGAAGCTCTTAAAGGATCTGAATGGGAAGAGTACAAATCTAAGAGAAAAGTAGAAGTATATATAAAGAAGAGTCTGTGAAGTCTTAATTTTACCATCTCTAGCACCGGGGTTCCCAGGGAATCGTGAAAATAGATTTTATTTTTCTAAACATTATCTGTCTGTCTATCTATCTATCTGTCTATCTATCTATCTATCTATCTATCCATCCATCTATCCATCTATCCATCTATCTATCTATTTTTCTGTCTGTCTATCTATCCACCCACCGACCCATCCATCCATGCGTCCATCCATGCATCCATCCATCTGTCCTTCTTCACCGTGTGTGTGTGTGTGTGTGTGTGTGTGTGTGCGCGTGTGTGTAGATAGAAAGCTATCCATATGTGAGTAGATAGATTTAGATGCAGAGGTCTTCATATAACGTGGACCCCACATTGTCTAAGTGCACAATTTTCCATGAAGAAAATCAAGCTAATAATATCCAACTTTAGTGACTGCAAACTGTTTCCAGGCATGGTTCTTACTCAGCGTCAGTATTGTCTACACATTTCCAGAAATATCACATACAAGGTACTCAATATCAAGGGCATCCACCATAAACACAATTTTCATCATTATTATTTACTTCTTTTTCTAGTAAGTGACATTTACAAAGGTCAACTCCCCTTAAAGTTGTCGAGTTTCCAACCAGAAAGTCACCTCCATTTTTTTTGAGAGCACATCTCATGTTTGGTAATATGTGTGACTTATAAGGTCCACTAAGTGTGTGTCTTGTGAATTGACAAATTCTGGAAAATGCCACATCTCAGTGTTTGGTATGGTTTGGTTTTAGGACCCCAGAAAACACCACCTCACTGTGTTGGGGTGTGTGTGTGTGTGTGTGTGTGTGTGTGTGTGTGTGTGTGTGTTTATTCCATTCCCCAGAAGACAGGAAATGTCAAGAGGTTTTGCCTCCTCCTGAGTCATGTGTGGTGGTCCCTGGTTGCATCCATGCAGTGGAAGATAAGTCCTCTGCTGCAGAATTCTTTTCCTGGACCTCCTCTGCAAACACGCTCATTCCTGCTGATGGGGAAGGTAAGGAAAACGAAGAGGTGGGGTCTGAGTACGGACAGGAGGTAGAGCTGAGCTGCTTGGCCCAAGCCCTACTTATTTGACTCTCCCCTCAAACGCAGAAAAGGGTTTCAGGGCAGAGGCACTGGACTGAAGCCCCTGTAGAGGAACAGAGAGAGGGAGAGATAAGATAAGACACAGCTCCTCATATGAACACTGGGACATCTGTGCTTCCCATAGAGCACAGTGCTGGTGTGGGCATTTCATCAGAACCTTCCCCCTCAGATGAGCATGAGCTCGGATCCTCACGCACACTCCCTCATCTGTATCCCTTCCCGCCAGGTATGGTCCCGTTTCTCTTTCCTTTGACTTTTTCTCCCAAACTTACTGCCTTCAGTCCTCATTAACCTTCCTGTGTTCTAGTAGCATGGTGTTGGTACGCCCCGGTACCTTCCTTCCTTCACACAGTCTCACCCACTTACACACTAATCCCGTAAGTAAATTATGTCCTCTCACCCATACAACCTGTTTGAACTCCCTCATGCAAACTGCAGCAAACTCATAGACCATGGAGGGGATGCACTTTCATATACTGCCTTTCTGGTCCTGATGCCGCTTGACCCACAAGGACGTCAGCCCCTCCAAAAGCCACACATTCTGAGAGCCTAGTTCACTTCTGCTAACACTTGATGTCGTATTGACTCAACAGCAAGAACAGGCAATGCTCCCGTACTTGTTCACATGTACCGTCGCACCGTGGAACACACAGGCACACATTCATCCGCCATTGCCTTTTACCAGTGTGGAAAACACTCACCGGAGATGTCCCCAAACCCACATACAACTCCACAAGACGCACCACACCCTCATCTTCCCAGTGACACCAGCTGCACACCTCCAAGAAAACATACTACTCCCCACATTCTGAATATCACGTGTGTATATGCTTCTGCTCCCCGTATCCACACAAGAATGGTCTTGTGGCCATCTTAAGTCCTGCCGACATCACGTACTTATGCTCCCTATGTTTGGAATGTTCTTGCCTAGAAACACTTCAGTGCCATCAAGAAATAACCTGTCTTGGATTCCACGATAATTTGGAGAGTTCTCCCCCCTTTCCACCAGCCTCCTTCTCATTCCATCCCATCGGGAATCCTAAACCCTCTTTATCCTCAGAACACCCCAAAGGAGAGAGGCTCATGAGAGTATTTTACCTGCGTGTCCACCGGAAAAGGGGGGTGGCTGTCCTGTGTGAGGGCAAGAACAGACTGGAGCCGGCCTCAAAGAAGAGAAAAATGGAAGAACTGACCATTTCTGAAATAAGTTCTCCCAAAACCGACCTCTCTTGTCCGTATACAGAAGAACTCCTGAGTGACAGTGACTCCAGCTGGAACAACGAAGCCCAGGAGGAAAGGCAGGAGGTTGAGAGTCCAACAGAGCTTCCCCCTCTAGAGGGATGTTCCATGGCCATGCCGCCCGAGTGGCTGCTGGCCCCAGAAAGCGGTTTCAAGTGTATGGCCTGCTGCCGGGTCTTCCCCACCTTAGAGGCCCTCAAGCAGCATGTGCAGAATGGAGTCAGTGAGGGCTTTAGCTGCCGCGTTTTCCACGTAGCCATGACGTGGCTGGAGAACAAGCAGAAGACGGTCGAGAGGAAGACGGAAGAGGAAGAAAAAGGAGGGCAGGAAGATAACACACAGATACCAGGAGAAAAACCATTTTGGCTTAAAGAATTATTAAAGAGATTATTTTTCGGCTGCTTTCGAGGGAGGAAGTAGAATAGACCACACTCTGCTGAGGCGGCTTTATCCTGCCCAAACAACCCCAGTCCCCAAGGTTTTTTATTTACACCCACCCCGTCCCCACCGCTATCACCACACCACCAGGAGGAGCAGAGAGCCATTTTCAGGTCTACCCAGGGTTCTCCCGACAAGGGGAGAACATGCTTTCCCTCACATGCCCGCCCACACAGTTACTTGCCTGGGGCGCTGTACTCATTATGGAGACAGGAAAAGCTAGTGCACAATTGAATCCAAAAGCAGAGAAAACCCACCCCTTTGGCTTTCATGTGCTTATGCACATGCAGGTGTACACACACTTCTTCTACGGTGACAGTTGAAAGGATGGAACGTGTCACAAACCATCAGAGACCATCAAATATATGCACCCCAGGGCGTTCCAAAAATCAGACTACCATCAAGGTTCATAGTTTGAAACACACAAAAGCTACCAATTTCTGAGCAAGCTAGTTTGCATGTTGAATGGTTTGCATGTCACTGAACACTTGTACATTTATAAAGATAAATCTTCATTTTTTTTTCTCCTCTGCCATCTTCAATCATAGTGACACATACCCAGAAAATAATTTAAAAAGCGTTCGTCAGAGTTCATGAGGCCATACGAGGGACATTTCAATAGTGCCACTTTCAGACGGTGGTGTCCATAATTTGTAGCTTTTGTACTTCTGATAGTGTTCAAACTGAAAACTGCCCTATGTATGTATATACATATAGGTGTCCCAAATCCCATAGGGCAGTTTTCAGTTTTAATAATATCAAAAAGTGCAACAAAAGCTACTAATTATAAACACCACCATCTGAAAGTGGCACTATTTGAATGTCCCTCCTATGGCCTCATGAATTGTGAACTGTCACTAGCACTTTTTAAATTTGTGTGTATGTGTGTGTGTCCCTCTGATTGAAGATGGCAGATGACAAAGGAAATGAAAATTTATCTTTGAAATTGTACAATGAATGTGTTAAGTGCCATGCAAATATAGCATACACACGTTTCATATATATGATATACATGCATATATGCCTAGAAACACATGGAAATATATACATGTATATATCATCTCTATATCCATGGTTATCTTGAAACTATTTTTTATGTCCATCGCCCGTATGGCTATATGTGTAAAAGAAGTGTCGTGTACCTCAGTGTCCTAGAAAAGATCGATTATAGTTGCTTTTGGTTTCATCTGCCTAGTTCTTTTTTCCACTTCCTTTGATAAGAGGCTCTACTTTCTGTCCACAAATATATAGGCAAGTAAGTCAGACTTCCCTTAAGAAAGCAAAGTCCTTAATTCACTACTTGGCTTCCATGATTCACCCTCGGAAGAATCATCAGTCTGGGTTGGAGAAATCTTTACCAATAGCTTGGACAATGAAAATAGAGGAGCTAGAGACTGGGCAGTTGGGAATCTTTTGCCTGCAACTGAAGAAAGATATAGGAGCCTCTACGACTGGCCTTTCTTCAGTTCCTCCTTTTTGGAAGACCTGGCTGTTTGAACTATTAGTTTAATATGCTAAGCATCCCCACTAACCCTTCAATAAAGGCTTGTTTGGTCCCATTAGCCTGAGTCATTTACTTTGTCACCTAATGTACCTTAATGGATGCAAATTAACTTGACCATGATCATTTCTCCCATTTCAATAGTTGAACCCATATGGCCTAGAAATCACTCCTACAGTATCCTCCCCTTCTGATTTTATACTTCAACAGGAAGGGATACGCTTCTACTCCAGATGTCCACTTGATTTCTTAGAAAAGTGCATGACAACTATTTGGGTGTATAAAAACAACTGGGCCTCAAATTTCGTCAAACTGGACTAAATTTCATACCACCACTTAGCTAATTTCTATGCTGAGTCAGTGCTGTCGTTTAAAAAATGGAGATCATTTCATGTGTCTGTCGGCCATCTGGATGTCCTCTTTGGAGAAGTGTCTGTTCAGGTCTTCTGCCCATCTCTTCACTGGATTCTTTGTTTTTTTGGGTGTGGAGTTTGGTGAGAGCCTTATAGATTTTGGATAGTAGCGCTTGATCTGATGTGTCATTTGCAACTATCTTTTCCCATTCCATCAGCTGCCTCTTCGTTTTATGGATTGTTTCCTTTGCCGTGCAGAAACTTTTGATCTTGATTAGGTCCCAATAGTTCAATTTTGTTCTTGATTCCCTTGCCTGTGGTGATGTGTCAAGGAATTTACCCCAGGGATACAGGAGTGCTGATGCATAGGGGCACATCTTCCCCAATGTTCCTAGCAACACTCTCAATAATAGCCAAAACATGGAAGGAGCCTAAGTGTCCATCAACTGACAAATGGATCAAGAAGATGTGGTTCATCTGTACAATGGAATCCTAGATGGCAATGAGAAAGGATGAAATCTGGCTATTGGTAGCAACATGGATGGAACCTGAGGGTGTTATGCTCAGCGATAGAAGTCATGTAGAGAAGGACAGGATACCATATGTTTGCAGGTATAGGTGGGTTAGGAGGAACTTAATGGAGGACCATGGGGGAGAAAAAGGGGAAAAATAGATGGAGAGCGGAAGGGAAGCAAACCATGAGAGACTCTTGAATGCTGACAACAAACTGAGGGATGGTGAGGGAGAGGGGAAGGGGGGTGATGGGCATGGAGGAGGGCACTTGTTGGGATGAGCACTGTTTGTTCTATGGAAAACAACTGACAAGAAACTATTTAAGAAAAAAAATGGATATCATAATACCTAAAGTAATAGCAATTGTGAGGAGAGGAATATACAGGTAAAAGCATCCAACTTAGGTATTCAAAATAAAATTTCATACATTTTTGGTAATTATTTCCTTTACCTTTGATGATCAGTGGTTTGACTTTGATGTGTCTGGGTAGGAATTGGTTGTTGTTGTTTATATTGTTTGAGATATGCTGAGCTTCTTAAGAACGTTGAAGTATTTTTTGAAGTTTCTTTTTTCCTTTCTGAGAGAAAGAGAGTGGGGGAGGGGCAGAGAGATAGGGAGAGAGAGCGAGGGAGGGAGAGAATCCCAAGCAGTCTCCCTGAGTTAGGGCTCAAACCCACAGACCATGAGATCATGACCTGAGCCGAAATCAAGAGTTGGACTCTTGACCAACTGAGCCACCCGGACGCCCCTAAAAACTCTTTTAGTTTTCATATAAATATAAATTCACCAGAAGTTGCACCAAGACTCCAGAGTGGTCCTGTGTACCTGTCAGCCCGCTTCCTTCAACTTCATTGTAGTGTATTACCAAACAGAGGAAATTGATCGGAACACTACAATAAACTATCCTGCAGACCATAGTAAGATGCACCTGTTTTTACAGAGAGTTAGCTTTTGTAGATTTTACATGGAACTCTCTGACATTTTATCCCATGTATAGAGTTATATACACATCATTGCAGTCAAGATACAGAAATGCTCTGTTACCCCCAACCACTTCTCACAGGCTGCTCTTCATCCCACAGCTAACCTTATACTCAATGGTTAAAACAAAACAAAACAAAACAAAAACAAAAACACTGAGAGATTTGCCTCTAATATCAGGAACAAGACAAGGATTCCCACTCTCCTTTTATCAACATAGTAATGGAAGTCCTAGCCACAGCAATTCAGACAAACAAAAAGAAACAAGTCATTTGTAATGTTAGGAAGAAATAAAACTTTCACTCTTTGCAGATGATATGATACTATATATAGAAAGCCCTAAAGACACTACTAAAGAAACTACTAGAACTCATAAATGAATTCAATAAAGTCACAAGATACAAATTAATAAACAGTAACCTGTGGCATTTGTATACAGCAATAATGAAGCAGCAGAAAGAGAAAGCAAGAAATTGATCCCATTGGCAATTGTACTTAAAACCATAAAATGCCTAGGAATCAACTTAACCAAAGCTATAAAAGATCTGTATGCTGAAAACTATAGAAACCTTATGAAAAAAGTTGAAGAAGACACAAAGAAATGGAAAATTAATCCATGCTCATGGATTGGAAGAACAAATATTGTTAAAATGTTGATATTAACGAAGACAATCTACATATTCAATATTCTCTGAAAATAACACCAGCATCCTTCACAGAGCTGAAAGAGACACTTCTAAAATATTGGATGGCACCAGAAAATACCCCAAATAGGTAAAGTAATGTTAGAAAACCAAACCAAACCTGGAGGCATCCCAATTCTGTACTTAAATCTGCATTCCAAAGCTGTGGCCATCAAGACATTATGTTACTTACACAAAAATGGACACATAGATCAATGGAACAGAATAGAGGACTCAGAAATGTATCCACAGACATATGGCCAACTAATCTTTGACAAAGCAGGATAGAATACACACTGGATAAAAGGCAGTGTCTTCAGTAAATGGTGTTGGGAAAATCAGACTGATATCAAACCATGAGAGACTCTTGAATGCTGAGAAACAAACTGAGGACTGATGGATGTGGGGAGAGTGGGAAGATGGGCATGGAGGAGGGCACTTGTGGGGATGAGCACTGGGTGTTATATGGAAACCAATTTGACAATAAACTGTAAAAAAAAAAAAAAGAATGAAAGTGGACCACTTTCTTAACCATATATAAAAATAAATTCAATGGGGCGCCTGGGTGGCTTAGTCGGTTAAGTGTCCGACTTTCGCTTAGGTCAAGATCTCGCGGTTTGTGGGTTCCGGCCCCGCATCAGGCTCTGTGCTGACTGCCAGCTCAGAGCCTGGAGCCTGTTTCAGATTCTGTATCTCCCTCTCTCTCTGACCCTTCCCTGCTCAAGCTCTCTCTCTCTCTCTCCTAGAAATAAATAAAACATTAAAAATTAAAAAAAAAAATAAATTCAAAATGGATGAAAGACGTAACTGTGAGACAGGAAACTTTCAAAGTCCTACAGGAGGAAACAGGCAACACTTCTTTGACCTCAGCTGCAGTCACTTCCTACGAGACAAGTGTCCGGAGGCAAGGAAATCAAAAGAAAACATGAACTTTTGGGACCTCATTAAGATAAAAAGCTTCCGAACAGCAAAGGAAACAATCAAAACTAAAAGGCATCCAATGGAATGGGAGAAGATACTTTCAAATGACAGATCAGATAAAGGGTTAGTATTCGAAATCAATAAAGAACTTATCAAACTCAACACCCCAGAAAAACCCAAATAATCCAGATCCAAACAAATGGACAGATGTGAACACTTTTCCAAAGAAGATATCCAGATGACTAACAGACACATGGAAAAATGTTCAACATCACTCATCAGGAAAATACAAACCAAAGCCACAATGAGATACCACCTCACACCTGTCAGAAGAGCTAAAATTAACAACACAGGGAGGAAAAAACACAGATGTTAGTGAGGATGTAGGAAAAGGGGAACACTTTTGTACTGTAGGTGTCAATGCAATCGGGTACAGCTACTCTGGGAAACATGGGGATTCCTCAAAAAATTAAAAATAGAATTACCCTATGACCTAGCAATTGTACTTGTAAGTATTTATACAAAGGACACAAAAATGCTGATTCAAAGGTGCACATGTACCCCAATGTTTATAGCAGTACTATCAACAATAGTCAATCATGGAAAGAGCCCAAATTTCCATTGAGTGATGATGAGTGGATAAATAACATGTGACCACACACACACACACACACACACACACAGGAATATTACTCTGTGATCACAAAGAATGAAGTCTTTCCATTTGCAACAATGTAGATAGAAGTCGATTGTATTATGCCAAGTGAAATAAGTCAGCCAGAGAAAGGTAAATGGGATGTTTCACTCCTATGTGGAATTTAAGAAACAAAACAGATCAACATAAGGGAAGGGAAGGAAAAATAAGATAAAAAGAGAGAGGCAGGCAAGAGACTCGTAAATTCAGAGAGCAAACTGAGGATGGCTGGAGAGGTGTTAGTGGGGAGATGGGCTAAATGGGTGACGGGCATTAAGGAAGGCACTTGTCATGATGAGCACTGGGGGTTGCATGGAAGTGGTTAGTCACTAAATTCTATTCCTGAAACCATTCTTATACTGTATGTTAATTAACATGGATTTAAATAAAATTTAACAATTAAAAAGAAAAAATCTAGCTTTTCTAAAACATAATTTATAGCAAATAATAATTAAAATATTGTCGCTGTGACATTGCCCCCCATTTGGTTTCCAGTTTCATTTTCTTCCTTGATTTGTGAAAAAAGAGGTAAATTCTCAGTAGAGCAAACTAATCTTCTATTATTCTTCTGCTACTTAAATAAAAATGGTAGTAATACACCAAAAAAACCACCCCAAACTATTAAATCTTTTCATATGCATTGACATGGTAGGAACCAGAGAGTATTGGGCTAAATGAAATAAATCAGAGAAAGACAAAAAAACATATGAGTTCACTTGTATGTGGAATTTAAGAGAAAAATCAAATGAGCAAAGGGGAAAAAAAAAAAAAGAAAGGGAGCAAAACCAAGAAAGAGACTTTTAACGATAGATAAAAAACTGATGGGTACCAGAGAGGAGGTGGGGGAGGATGGGTTATACAGGTGATGTAGATTAAGGAGGGCACTTGTGATGAGCACTGGGTGTTGTGTCACTG